CCTATTCTAATTAATTACTAAGGCCCCTACATTGACATTACCTGGCATGCAGTTGTCGATGAGATGAGTGCGAGTACTTTTAGGTTCATGGCACATGTTTAGCATATCGTCGTCTGAATTGCGAAACTCCGGTATGAAAAAGCTACGTGGAGCATTTTTTGCGAAACCCCGGTCCTGTGTCAGGTTCAAGTGGATGGCAGTTGAACCCGTCAGCGCCATGATGCAGGCGATGATCACAATCCCGACGACACAAAAGGAGCACTGGGAGGTCGTGCAAACTCGCGACCACCACCTCAAAAAGCTCTTCTATCGTGCATGTCCTTGCGACCGAGAAGACGTACGTTATAGGTGCACATGTATGCATGTATGTAGGTATGTCTGCGGGTATATCTGTGCATATTTGTACATAAAAATACAGTCTACGTGCAATCTATCTGTTGTGTGTGTACGTGTGCTCCTCTTAAAGGGCCACAACGATCACAGTCATATTCTCATGATACAAACACAGGCGATAAAGTAGCAATGCGAGGTTATCTAGGCATCACTCCCAATGATGCATAACCGTGGTCGTCCTGCATGGCTTCTTTTGCAGAACCTCAAGGGCACTGTAAACCCTGTGCAGCTAGCCAGTCAAGTTGCTGCCAGAAGCTGGACACGTTCCTCGGTCGTATCACTATTCGTCGACTACAAGTCGCATTTGCTATTGGAATCCTTGCAGTAACACTTGGCTATTTTTGTACACGAGTTGACTCCCGGCTTTCAAGCACGTCGTGTGTGGGGCGTTCGATTGAGACGTATAGACAGCAAGCAAGGATCTGCTGTGCCAAAGCCCGCCGGCGGAGCTTGCCCTCTGTGCGAGACAGGCTCTGTCCAACCTCGCCAGCAGATGCTCTGAGGAAAGCACCCTCAACAGTGAAAAACCCAAACTTAAGCCTAACTGCTGATTCCGGCTTTGGCCCACAGTTGGGCACACAGCCGCACTAAATCCTCTAACACAGGGGCCTTGATTATCAGCAACAGTATCCCCATCGAGTCCCTCCATTGGTGTCCAAAACTCCGTTCAAACTTTTAAGGCTGCGAAATTCGCAAAAAACCTAGACGCTACTTCCCCTAAACCCTAAACCCTACTTTTGCCCTTGCAGAGCCCCCTTCAACGGCCCTCCCCAGCCTCTGCGTCTTCATCCGAGGTGGAGATGTAAGCATTCTCGTCCTACAGGAAGCTGCAAGGCCCATGACTGGGACTGTCATGGAATGGCTGGGGCGAGCTCAAGAAAGCCACCAACACTTTATGGAGCCCCGCATTTACCTAAACATGAGATACCATAAACTCGTAAGCAAAACAACGGCATCCGAACTGTGAAATTCCAGAACCGTCACTGGTTCTTGAACTTATCTATGCAATGCTTTAGGGAGCACAGCCTCCGCTTAGCCTGACTCTAAGCCATTCTGGTGCCAGTTGGGTGCAGAATGTCTACACTGCAGCGGAACGGCTTGCTAAAAGGAACGACGAAGCTTCCTTTACCCAGAACATCCATGACGTAGACACAGTTGCTGACTGCTGACTTTGTCGACAACCTACTTTTGCTGGTACGACGACGACGACGACGACGACGACGACGACTACTACTACTACTACTAGTACTTGTACTACTGCTACCATTACCACTCTATAACCGATACCAGTATCGTTGGTGTTGCTTTTGTCGCTGTTCCCCTTGGCATGGTTAGGAATATCATGCCTGCTGTGCGTATGATCGGAAACATAACAAAAATCAAGCCATGTCCAATATGAGTTGGGATTTTTGTTGCTGCCATCCTGGTCTTCACAAGAGAGATGGTCCTACACGCCCAAAAAGGCCGAGAATCGTCGTTGGATTCGAAGTCATAGGTCCGACTGCTCTCTTGACGAAGGACGCCCAACCTGAAGAGACGGGCTCGGAGTCTAACCAGACCGCGGGCTTCAGGGTTTAGGGTTGAACCTGTCGTATGGTTTGAAGCAGCCAAATTTAGGGACCGCATGTGGTTTAGGGTCTAGGGGAAAGCCTGATAATTTGGAACATGGACTTATGGTGTTTAGATGTGGTTAGTGTTCGGATTACTCGACTTGAAGGACGTTAGGACCATGGTGTTCCCTCCCTCAACGTTGCGGACTTAGCATGCCTGAGCCACACCTTGCAGCCGGGTCCAGGTTTTTTTTGGGTATTT